TTCTCCAGCCTCTCCCCCCCAAAAAACCTTTTTCTCATCCCCCTGACCTACCCCTCCCTCCAAATCAATGCAGTCCTCCCAGACCTCCCAACACAAAGCCCTTAGAGCAAACCCAGCACAGAAATCATAGCACACCATTCAATCATTGTTTTTTCCCCTCTCTCACCCCTTTTATGGTCCCACTAAAGGTTTTAACCGGGCAGAGAAGGAGGGCTGTCACTGAGGAAACCTTAGCCCATTGATGAAGTGACAGGAGCTGCCAGAATATGATCCTAATCCTGTTTCCAGCATTCTTTTAGCCTGCTGGCATCGCAATTCCTCCACACATTCTCTGAGCTGTCAACTAGGAAAATCCCTCTAATAGCGCATTGCCCAGATACACATCAAAGAGCTCCTGGAAACCTTCAGCGGCTTAGCTGCCATAGACACACTAGCACACACAAACACACCATTCCCAATAACTTACATCCACATGATCTTTAGGAACACACAAAACCCAGATGTCCGTGGAAAATTGACCACATATTTAAAGTAATAAACCAAGGATATTGGAATGAGTGATCTTTGCGCCCCCAAAATTATTTTTACACGCTGTAACCATGCCCTATTTTAAAACAGCCACCTACCTTTTGCTAGTCAGAAAGTGATATGATCTTTATGGTCGTGGATTTACGGGGCAGGACAGAGCAGGGGGAAAACAGGTGTCTGAACTTTGCTGACTCTAGAAACCCTTTTAGCCCTATTTTATCTCATTCTATTCTTACTTAATCCATCGATATTCCAACCAAAGGTAATCTTCTTATGGCGAAGCATTCTGTTTTGGTGCAGCCAAACCTCTGCTGACAGGGTGGGGGAAGAGGGGAAGCAGCGAAAGAGAGCATATGAGGAGTGGGTGGGTGGATGGTGGATTGGGAGACTCTTTAGGGCCTGACACTGTGCTTCAGTCATTTCATTTGGGATTAAATCTTCTGCAGTGAGTGAACAAGTGGCAGGTTCTCCCCTATCTGGTGTGTAAACCTCAGCATGAACGCTGGCGGGCCCCCTGTGGATAAATTATTTATGGATCATCAAGGTGTCTTCAATAAAACAGGAACTAAAATTAAATTTTTACTATAAAAAAGTGAAGGTAAGTTTTCTGAAATTTTAAACCATTTATTATGAGCTAGACTTTCTCTGGTCTGCACAATCGAATCCAAGCCCACCCTTGTTTTGTTGCCAACTTATTCTCATTGGAAAGTAACGTCTGAGAGGGCATGGTAACTGGTTCAATATCCTGGTTAGAAAGTAAATGGCTTTCCTGGTCTTCTTCAGACTCACCTTTTGGCTAACTTCTGTCAACTCATCCCACAAGAGTTTTATCATGTATTTTATGAAGAAATTGATTTTTTCTCAATGTCACATTTTCTTAATAAATACTTAATTACCTAATAAATAGCTGGTTTGAAAGTGTTAATGAAAAAATACAGACAGACATTTTCATGCTGTGAACATAAGTCATTCTTATGTTTTGATTTATTCCCTTGCATTGAACAGATAAATTACTCACATTTAAAACAAATGAGAAATACATGTTTTCAATGTACAGTCATATAATACATAGAGAACTGGCCTGTGCATTTTTCTGCTGAAGCCGCCGGCTCAGGAAAAGTGGTGAGTTCAGTCTGACAAAAATAAATGTTGGCGGTGCGAAATTATTTTTAACTGTGCCTCATCTGCAGATTCTCCTCTTTGCTTCATTTTCTCTGTTAGGTCCTTTGCTTAAAGCCAAAACTGGAAAATACATGGGCTACTTCCTGTTAAATCCTTTAAAAAGAAGAGACATGGAGGTATTCCTTACTCAGGAAGGTGGACAAATACTGAAGGATATTTACAATGCTCAATGGATTCTTGAAAGCTGACCTGAAAGCTCTGACTGTGAAAGTCATCTATCAAGAAAAATGTATTTGGTTGTGAGATTATAGTAACCAATTTGATATCAGAACTTTACCCTGCTGCCAATGCCATGTCAACTATGTCATGTGGCTATAAGCCATGCTTCAGTGGGGTACAAGCATGCATAGTTCGAGTTCTTGTAGGATTATAAGATTTTTTTATATATATATCTTTCATATCTGTCCTGGAATGAGACTGACAGCTCTGGAGTTCAAGCCTTCCTGCAGTGACTTTATAGAAGAAGCTTAAATCATAGTGAACAGCTGGCATTAGAACTTCCTGATTCTATTGACCAGGTGGTGTCAAATGCAAGCAAGTGCTAAACAGTGCTGTTCAGTCACAGCTTCAGTCCAGGTGGGATTTTCATTAAGTCCGTTGAGTTCTTGTCATAATCTTATTTTCTCTTCGGTCTATCCAGCAGAGATGTTCTTTGTGCTCCCAGCAGTGAGCCGCATGCTCAAATGATGGTGTTGAGGATAAGGGCAATACATGAACTGACAACCCTGGCACTCAGTTAAAGGAGAGCCCCTAAAACATGCTTTATGCTCTTTTGGTGTGTACTTACAAATACTTTGAAACTGGGTTTATTTCAAATCGACAAAAGAGCAAACAAAAAATCTCAGCTTTGCAATTAATTTGTATGAGCACAAATTTGAAATGTGGGCAGACTTTGTGATTCTCATTACAACATCTGAAGAGCAAATAATCTTGACATTAAACTGGAGAGGGTTCTACTGCGGTTTTGGAGGTAATTCTGAATTCTGGGTGGACACACAAAGTTCTTTTGCTGGTTCATGAGAGGTCAGGAGGAGGTGTTGTTAGGTCACCTCCTGTTGGCAGGCCTCCATTCTGTAGCGTAGTCCCTGACCTAGAGGCCAAGCACGTACAACGAGCAGCCAAGCTTCAGTTGGGGAGTGTATCCAATCCCAGCGAGGCCGCATGCTGCTTGGCCCTCAGACGGAGGTTTTCGATGCTGGTGGTCTTGCTGTTGAGGCTTCCTGGGAGGTTGCCCGGCGCTGCCTGCAACAGTGGGTTGTTCCATACCTGCTGAGCCTGCGACAGGGTCTGGTAGTAGGACTGGCAGGGCAGCGACCCCAGTGGGGAAGGCATGTTAACGTTCATGCCCAGGTAGGGCAGACTGGACGGCGTGCTCATGTCAAATGATGGGTAGTGCACCAGGTTGTTGGTGGCCGCCATGTGTTGCCGAAACTGCTCCTGCAGGCGAAAGAGACTGAGAGGAGACGAAGCATAGGAGTTGCTCTGCGCTAGACCACTGCTTACACTGCTGGAGGAGGGCAAGGCGGGGGAGCTCAAAGGAGAATCTGGAAAACAGGAAGCGAGAAGGAGGACTTCAGTATGTTTTGACGCACCTTTTGCATGGATAACTTCTGTATATACCGTCCATTTGAATGAATTCTATAAAACTATCTCGCACATGGATGGATTTCTAAAATAAAGTAATTGATTAGAGACTACAAAAGAAAGACAAACTGAATATGTGTTTTTTTTTTTACCTGAGCTTGGACTCAGCCGTTTACAGGATGGGGAGCTGCTCCCTGTCGGCAGTCCCCCCTCCCCCTGAATCTCCTCCCTGAGTTTCACCCTCGTCTCTCCTCTTATTTCGTCCTCCTCTCTGTCAGCATTATCTTCTGCTGCTGACTCGCTGTCTGATGGTTCAGGGGAGGTGACGTTTACTTCCACGCTCATCTCGCCAGGCTGGGGCCGTGCTGCTGCCTGCCTCTCTGTCTCTGAGTGAGAGGATGAAGAGGAGGAGGGAGGAGGAGGAGTGCGAGTCTCAGGAGCCAGGGTAGTGGCAGTAGTGAGATCATTCTTGGAGTCCTCTGTAGCACCTTCGGCAGCTCCTTGAGTTTCTTTCTGTTTCTGGAGCTGCTCCTTTTGCAAGCTGCGCTGCTTCTTACGAAACTTGGCCCGACGGTTCTTGAACCAAACCTGGCAGATAGAAAAATAGATAAGTGCCTGAGTAAAAGAGTAAAAATACATTAAAAGTTAATATTCTAATATTCTTCTTCTTGTGTGTTGTAAAAATTTAGTATGGCTACTATGGCTCTTTGGACAAAAACCCCTGATGTGGTGCACATGTGAAAAACTAAACTGAGCCTCAGGAAATTCATCGTCTACCAAGGCAAATGTCCTGTTGTACAATTTTAATGAAAAGGATCCAGTCAGTCTTTCAAGCAGGCGTGTAAATAATGAAAACAGCAGGCCATTTCACCAATTTCATTTTTATTTTTAGATTTTTCAGGGTCTAGAACGTCACGCCAATGAAAAACTGTAGTCTTACAAGACTCTTATTAGAATACCTTGATATGTTTTCTGATATTTAATGAACTGCTTTTGCCTTGATCTGTGATAGTTTTGCCTTAAAAGTGACTGAACGCTGTGCATTTCTTAAAACATTTACTTCTGCAGAAGCTTCTGGTCTAGGTCTAATTATGGTTAAAGCATGATCTTAAAAAGATCTTTTACGTGGCTTTTTACCAAGAGAAAAACTACGAAACGAACACTTTTTTGCGCACCCACCTGACTAATCAGGGAGCCTCTTGGCAGGTGGGCTTTAAAAGATACAAAAGGCTAAATCTGAGTATGCCAGAGTTTCAAACAGAGGTGAAAAGCAGTGCACTGTATAAGAAAACAAACGTAAGACTATCCTTATAGGATAGTGAGTCTGAAAGAGCACAGTATCAGCTCTTAAACAGCGAAAAACGACCATTCATATCACGTGACTGCGTTATTTCACATTTTTAATAGCGAAACGAGACTGCTAGACAAATGAATTTTGGGTTTGTTTTTTTTACCTGCACACGTGCCTCGGGCAGGTTGGTGCACATGGCCAGGCGTTCACGCATCACCACGTCAGGGTAGTGCGTCTTCTGGAAGGTTTTCTCCAGAGCTTCCAGCTGCTGGGCGGTGAACGCTGTCCGACTGCGCCGCTGCTTTCGGTGCTGGGAGCCATAGCGGGCCTCAAGGATAATGTCTTGAAATGTACAGCCGTTGAGAAAAAAGAAACATGACCAGTTTAATTTAGGGACAAGCTAAACGTTCACGCGAGCACCTTCACGTGCCAGGGTCACATAAATATAATAACTTAACTGAGAACGGGAGGAAGTGATGATTTGGGATAGAAAATGAGCAACTGAGTCTTACCAGCCAGTCTCTCCGCGAGAGTGAGCGCGTGCACCGAGGGCCTGTAGTCAGGCGCGTGCTGTGCTTGCTGCGCCGCCTGCTGGTGAAGGTTGTACATGGCGCTCAGTGAATTCATGGCGTGCAGAGAGTAGCCGTTCACTCCGTAGTGCTGCATGACCGGCGAGCTGACTGAAGAGTCACAAGCTGCTGTGAGTTTCAGGCCTCGGAACAAACAAACTTACTTCTAAAGAAAAGTTTAAGCTCCAGGAGGCCATTTCTAATTTTTTATTTTTGTGTGCGTCTTTGTTCCGAGAGGAGAAAATTAAATGGCAACAGGTGAAAGACAAGCTTTAGACTCCCGCCAAAGGGAAGATGGTTCATTTTATAAAAGGATAACAAAGCGAATAACTGATAATGATTTATGAGTTAATATACAGTTAGAATCTTCAAAGAACTTTCATGTGTGTCGTCAGATCCGCACAAATGTAGCAAAGTAAAACGAAAAACTGAAAGAAACTAAATCAATTTAGTCAAAATATCATCAAAAACATGGAAACTAGAAAATCGATAACTTTTATATTACATTTGATTAAGATTTTTCAATTTTTATTAAAGACCCCAGCACCAAACACTTTTTGTTCAATTTAGTGTTGAGAAAAGTCGTAAAATAGATTCTCCATTGATCTCATTGCTAATAATCTGCTTTGTATTTTGCTAATATAAAGTGTTGTTTCAGATCAAATGTATTTTTTTTAAAGTAGTGTATAAAGTAGAATTTTCAATATCGGCTTTTTTTTATTGTTGCATTATTCTGTGGCTTTTTGTGGTGATTTTACCTTATTATTATTATTATTATTATTAGTAGTATTGTAATACAGTTCTGTAAAATCATTATTACTGAATTATAATGCAGGCATGTATTATTATTATTATTATTATTATTTTTATACAAGTCTGTATAGTAATAATAATAATTATTATTATTATAATAAATTAAAGTGGTTTAATTTATATCTAAAAATATTCCAGTGAAAATTATCTTCAGTATTTTTTATCCACGGTCTGGGTTTAAAATGAGCTTTTACACTGAATATATTTTAATCATGATTATTATTGTTATTAATATTTTAAAGGTTTATTTTTGCGCGCTCGCAGTTCACGGTAATCGCTGCCAAACCTCTGCAGTCTGCACCGGCAGAATTGCGGGAAAATATTTACTTTGCTCCTTGTGAGTTCGCCTCGAGTGGGAGCCGTTTATTTCAATCTGCGGCGGGTCCCAGGTCGGTTCCAAGCGCCTAGAGGCTGACGGCGACGTGTGACAGGTCTGCGGTGAAATATGCACAAGATCCCCGGTTGGACTCCTGTTTAATGTGGGTGCAAATAGGTTTCAACTATACAGGACTATTAATTTATCATCAGGCCTGACACGTGAAACGTGGGCCCCGGTGGGCGTGTGTGTGTGTGTGTATAAATCACTGTTTGAGAGGAAACCGTGTAACTAATACAAAATTTTCTTTCGCTTTTAATTTTCTTTTTCTTTTTGGCTGTTTCATTGCATTATTTTGCTAAATGAGCCTCTGGCTGGAAGTATGTAATCTGCTAGTTTTCCCCACATCTACAGCTAAAAATTCAACATAATGCTCTTCTTTCAGGACAATGTCACGATGCCTCGGGCTCTGATTTAAGTCTAATTATGCTAATTGCCGTGGATTTATGAGTTATACTGCATTTACTAAAGAGTGCCTTGGGGCCGTAGTTCTGTATGCGTGGCGTCAATCCATCACCATTTACAAACTGAAAAGGCAAAGAGAGCGAACGGGAATCATTAACCTACGGAAAATTAACAACATGGAGTAACACACCGAGAGGAACCGAGGGATCTTCTGACAAATCCTATAACACTGCGTGTTATTTTACAGTCAGAAATAAAGGGAAACCGAGCAAACACGTGCTGTTATTGACCGCTGCCACTGTTTATTTTGGATCGCTGCACTTTGGGAATCATTTCTATCAGGAAGTTTGGAACACGATGTAAGCGAAGACAAAAACAGAAGAGACAAGGCTAAAACAGTTTTAGTTTAAACGTTTGTGTAGTTTAAAATCTAAAACCTGTAGGAAAATGATCTGTAATGCCCAACTTGCGTTCAGCAAACTTCTTACCTCTCTGTCTTATAGAAATTTCTCAGCCGAATATTCGCCTTTCAAATCTTCTGCTCTAAAATCCCCAGGTGGTTGATCATCTTATTCAGTTCATTACAGTTTTTCATTCAGCCAGATATCCTGAGAATATTCCGGTCTGTCCGCTCCGTGCACCGGCTCGCTTCTCTGCTTGAGGGAGGATGCCGAGCTGCCATCTATCGGCCTTTAAAGCGCTCCGGGTGGGGTCACCGGGACGCCCAGACGCTTTCCTCTCTGTGCCAATCACGTCGCTTTCCTCATCCACCCGCCCCACCTCTCTTCTATACACCTCACTTTGTGGGTGAGTGCTGCACCGAGGTGCCGCTGTACTTGTTTTAACACGTTCTGTCACATTGGACAATTATTATTACTATTATTATGATCATTATTATTATAGGTCCTCCTTGTTTTAAGCATATCGCTCGCAGGTGACCGTGATGATGAAATGCGTGTTGCTTTTTGCAGGCTGACGAAGTTTCATCTTGATAACTTAAAGTTGTTTTGCACAAATATAAAGAGAAAATTACGCGACAGCGTGAGTTTGATTTCATAATTCCAACATCACAGGGTTATTCTGAGAATTTGTTGCTGAGTAAGCGCTTAAACCCACTTCAAAGGGGAACCTGTACTTGTTTTCATTTCTAATTCTCAGTTGCCATTCTCTACTTTTAATTTTAGTATGTTTCATGCTGCTTTATTAAAAATTTTTTTTTTAGAAAATTACTTAATCCACTACAGAGAAAATACAAAAATAAAAAAGTCCATTAAAGCGTCCGTTTGTTTGCCTGTCAGTGACGCTTTCTGCAGTGATTTTTAGCTCCAAACAACCTTTTAGAAAACAAAATAATGAAAACAAATCCGAGATAATCTAGAAAGTAAACATTTGCTTCACATGATCTTTAATGTTTGTAAGAAATATGAGCTGATTTAGATGAAACTCATAAAAATCAGCAAAAGGGAGGGGGGAACGTTAATCACACGGGTCTTAATGAAATGATATGCAAATGACGAGAAGCTACTGGCCTTTGCTACCCTCTTGCAGTGACTACAGCGACTTTCAGGTTAATTCCGTGCATTAATTTTATTTTCCTGCTGCCTGGCAATGACTACATTTTTTGGTCGGAATGCAGCTGAGATGGAGAGATGCGGGCTGGGCTGCACTGCCTCCAGCAGCTCCCCGGCCCCGAGGGATTTAGGTTAGGATTGGGTAGACAAGACGCCATTTCACCCTCCAAAAAATGTCTTAAAATGACTGCTGGTAAGAGGATTAAAACAATAATGCCCCTCTCTTCTTCTTCAAGGTTTTTAGAAAAGATTTCTTCTTCCGAGGAAAAACCGTTTAGGCTGGAATTAAGGGCAGCGAAAGTAGCCTTTTAATGTAAAGCTTGCATATTTTGTTGAATTTTCTCCGAGAGTGAGGGAGAAAGACGAAGGTGGGCTGGGAGGGGTTAAAATCCTAAATTTGATCTTTGCTCACCTTCACTCATAGAACTTTAGACGTCTGAAAACAGGCTGTATGCGCCTTATAGCTCCCGTCAGCGCGTTTGAGCAAAGATCAAAGTCCCTCTTTAGATTTTTCATGTTGTTGAGCTAAGGTCGGTGTCTTATAGAGCTTAATCGAGAAAGTGCAGAATATGAAAAAGCAACAATGAAAATCAACGATTTATAGCAACAAGTGGGTTTCACTGCGCACATGGGTCTTAAAAACCTGTTAGCTAAACATAAGTTCCGATTTCATATATATATATATATATATATATATATATATATATATTCCGAAGCTATGTTTTGACCTGTGCCTTTTTTTGCCGGAGAGCATTTGGGCAGAGAGGAGAAGAAAAATCGGATTAACTTGTGAACCGATGAAAATAAGAACTTAAACTGGAGGTAAATCTGTCCAGTGTCTCTTTGTGGGAACCGTTTCTAAAGCAATTAAAGCGAGAAGGAATTCCTCTCAGCTGCTCTTCCTCAAATCAGCTTTTTTACGGAACGTATAATGCGGGCTAATGTCCAGCATGGCTGAGGGTTTTAGCGCAAGTGTCAAGAGGGCCTGCTATTAGAGTGATATTAGGCCAGTGGAGCAGCAGCCCCTCCCACGCAGGGATTGAATGGACAATAAACTCACTGTGATTTACAGAATTGGTTTTAACTTGTAAAATAACATTTAGACAAATTATAGATGTAATCTTTTAAAATGTAGGTCCTAAAAGTGAAGATGCTTTCAAAATATTGTTATTAATAGTCGTTATGTAGCTATTATAAATTATAAGCCTATTTATCAGTTAACAAAAAGGAGTGAAAAACTGTTTTAAAGTAGTATTCGGTGAGATCAGCCCTTTCCCTTTCCCTTAGAAGAGGTGAGTCTGGGTTCTTATTAGCATGTTGCAGAACTTGCAGAACTGTATGTGGTGTAACAGAGCAATTTAAGAACAAATTAAATGTATATGAATTTGTTTACCTTTCTTACTGGTCTATCATTAAGAGCTTGTGATAAGGGGAGAGAATGTTTGACATTTATAATGAGAAAATGTTTGTTTCATTCAAACGGTTTAATAACATCTAATCTAAATTTTGGATGTGGATAAAACAGGTCATTTGAAACATGACTAATGGGATTATTAATAATGCATTATTATCATTATTATGTATACTGATTTACCTTTAGTGAATATAATGTCTGCTTCTCTGAGCAAAACATCACCAGTCCCACTGGTGTCACCATTGCTTGTTTAAATGTTCACTCAAGTTTATTCGGTTCTCAACCATCTAAAACTGTAAAATGTAAAAACTATCAAAATATTACGATTTATCAGTCAATTGATTTGCAAATCATTGACGTTTAGAGAAAAAACCTGTAGTTCCAAATTTGTTATCCCTTGCAGAACCTCACTGCTGTTTTTGAGGCCTAATGATAAAGATTATTCTGAATAAAACCCGTAGTTCACCCCTCATCATTTACCATTTTCAAACCACACTTCTCATCCTGCTCACCTTCAGGATCTGAGCACTGTTCACCCCAGGCTAACTTTCTAAACCCCAAATTCATCTCAGATTTCTGTGGATTTTATCAGCACACTCATTGTTCTCTGCACTCTGGCTGCATTCAGGCTTTATCATGTTAAAGCCTCTCCTCAGATCTGAGTTATCGCCTTTGCTCTCAATCATCCTCGCGCCTCAAAACTTTATCCCTGCATCAGGACTTTGGCAGCCTGAATCAACGCTCAGCCGAGGAAGCAGCAGCGATTTATAAATCATCTTCAGTTTTTAATCAGGTTTATAACGCATGAGCGTTTGTAATTTCTTCTCCTCAAATGGCTCCCTATATTTCCAAGTGGCATTTTACATCCACTCCAGGAGAAAGTTGATGCCTTCAGCCTTCAGAGCCCATTAACTTTTGTCATTAGGTTTTCTTTAACTTCATGAATATATTAGGTTTCAAACCAGCTGCTCTGGCCGGCACATGCTCTTAGTCAAGGTTAGCTTGTGCTCATTTGGGTAAAATTAATCATTTTGATGTATCGTTTAGAATTGACTGCTTCCATGGGACTTGTGTGACTGGAGTAACAAAGCAACTTGCCATTAGCAATTCTCCAGCTGTGTATTAGCAGGGCGTTCACCTTTAAGACCGTCCTCATATGTGTTGAATACCTGATTTAAATGGACAAATCTCCAGCTCCATAGACTTTGTTTCCAGACTTCATGTATTAAAACACTTATTTTAAAAGTAAACAGCATTCTGTGCGACAAAAGCAAAGCAAAGCATCACATTTAAAACTGCACTAACTGCCTTTTATTTCGTCATGTCAACACATAACTTACACCTTTTTGCATTTATTAACTTGCAATGTTACAAATGCTAAATTGTCAGTGCTCATCACTAATTTGTCTGACAGCTGCCTGTTGCTTACCACATAGCCTACATAGTGTGAGTCTAATAGATCTGCTGTAAACACTGGTGACTTACTCGCCCCTTTTATCGCCAACTCTTTTCATAATACACACAGTTGTCCAATCAGCTTTTAATATAAAATTATTATTAGTGTACCGTTTTATAGAGTACTCTGCACTCTCTATACACTGACACAATATTAATATGAGATAGTAAAAGAAAGAAAAAATAGACATACATTCAATGCAACTGTCATTTTTCTATGTTATCTAATGCAACTCAAACACCAAAAGCTCAGTCAGAGACTCGGGTGTGTTACCCCAGCAGCTCATGATGTAGCCTCAAGCCTGCAGATTCGACCAGTTAGCGATGTGGTTGTGTTAACCTCACTTCTTCTAACTCCACAACCTTCAGATTTCACTTTCAAAACAGCCTTCAGGCCCACCTGATGCTGACTTAAGTGCCATCACTTAAGAGCTATTTTTAAAATACTCCACAATATCTATAAAAATCTCCCCAGAGTGGAGCATGCATCTGAAACTTTCTACATTAAGCACTTTGGTAGAAACCAAAGTGAGGTGAACAGAGAGCACTGAGATAGAGACACAGTTATTCTCCACATGTGAGGCTGACCACAAGTTGTTCACTCTATTGTTTATCCTTGTATGATCCTGTAGATGCGGCGCACCATGCAGCAGCCAGGGCCGCTCCTCTGAACGGTTTCTGTGGCAGACTTGACATATCGAGGTTGGCAGGTTTGTTTCCTCCCTCTTTCTCAGAACTGGTCTTTGGTTGTGCCCCTCAGGCTGCGGCCCAGCACAAGGGTTCCTATTGTCAAGACCTAATCCAGGGGCTACACAGCTTTAGCAACATGGTGGGATAAAAGCCCATCAAACCACTGCTTTATGGGGGCAAATCTTTCCTAATCCCTCGCTTTATCTAAACAAAAGGAGAGAAACAAGAGGATAGAAAGAAATTGTGCAGACACAGGGCAAGACCGGGAGCTAAGATGCAAAGAAGTAGTTTCACTGGAGAAGCTAACCATTTTTGACAGGCTTTCACTAAAAGACTGACAAAAAACAGACACCAGGATTCCAAAAAGGGCTGTACAGGGTTTTTTTCTTTTCGAAAGTTAAGCTTTAAGATCCTTAGAGGGATATGTTGAAATTAGCGAGATTAAATGCAAAAACCTTAACTATTAAGAGTACTTGGCAGGGGACACCTGTCAGATGGGGACGCTATAAAAATTTGTTCTCGGTTTGCTCGGTTGATGTAAACAAGCGACAACTGTGTGAT